AAGTAAGTAAGTTACTTTATTTAACCACATATCGCATATGAGCGAATAGCTCGTTTAAATGCAAATGTGCCATAAAAATTTGACATAATTTACATGTATAAGTAATAAGTAATAGGTAAGAAATAAAAATTAATTATCTAGAATGATTAATTGCTATTAAAGTGATCAATAATTTAATAAAAGGGAATATCGGTGACTAGACTATTTGTTTACAAAACAAACAGCTGCAGTCATACGAGAGGACAACTGTATGTCTTGCAAATTTTCCCTAAATATGGAGAGGGATTCCGACATCCTTATTTTGTCTGTCAGATTGTTCCATTGTTTGCTAGCCTGGTACGTAAAAGAATGTTGCATATAAGATGAGGTTGGTCTTGGAAGAACAACCTTAAGATGGCCACGTAGGCTGTAACCATTACTTCGCAGAGAAAACATTTCCTGAATGTAGTTCGGACTGTTGAACCGGCGAAGAGCGTTCGGGAAACTGAAAAGAAAATCTGTTGTCAAAACAGTACTTTTAGCCATCTCAGTGAGTCACAAATGCTAACCTAAGGTAAATTTAAGCTGATTAGCATTCGTTTCTGGAGAGTTAGGATAGTGCTGAGTGTTTCTCGGGTCAACGCCGTAAGCAAAAGAACTCTTGATTCGGAAAATCTCTTGGAGTGCCTAATCGAACAAAAATCAAAGAATTTTCGATCGAAATCAATCGATTGAGTTTGATTACTAAATGTTTCTTTTGTTACGCTAGGTAAAAATATTTAGAATACTTGGAATTAGTTCAACTCGTTTTCAGTGTTTCTATGACTAATTTATGAATATTAAATATAGAGAAAGCGCCTTGAGAAACAGGTTGGAGTGGTTTGCCATTCACAACCAGTTTTGGTAAAATTTCCGCGCAGCCTCATAATACATTATGCATTCAGTTCTTGGATAGAGAAAACAATGACAAAAACAATACATTGCCATTGCGAAAACAGATTTGTTTTACAATAGTATGGGGCTGTGCGAAAATTTTAACTCACTTTTTTGTAATATATTGCCTCTGGACAATGATGAATATGAGAGGACAAGGGCTTGAGGACTTCACCATGATTTGAGCATTAAGCATACTCTTTCAAAAGGTTAAACACTGTCCCCTCCCCCTCCCCCCTCACCATAACCATTACCACCACTACTCTCCTCTCAGTCTTTTAGCCCCTTAAATGAATGCACTTGTTCACATAGGCTCATTGTAAATTCAGCTCAAATCAGGCAGAACAAGCTAAAAAGGGGACCATTTAGGGTTTTCTAGAGTGAATAAAGGTCTGCTGACAACAGCTGATCAGTGTTGATTGCTAAGCTTCTTTTTCTTCTCCACGTCAAATTCTACCTCATTTCTGGGAAGATTATTCCATTCATCACAATCCAATATATTGCAATCTATAAATGATAATCATATGTGTTCTTTATCTGCTTAGAGACATCATGTTTGAAGAAGCAGTTGCTCATATTTTCAGAGGATTTACAGATATTGTATCTGGTCTGCACATGTCAGCAGTGCATACACCATCATTTTTAGACATTGCCAAGTACTTGATTATCTTCCTGGTTGGTCCTATGACTGCAGTGATTGCCTATGATCAATTCTTTCCCATCTTTGAAGGAGTAAATCTTTATTTAGTAATAGTTATTTGCACACTAATTCTACTTGTCACTCCAGCATTGTTATTTGGTTTCTTTCGTTATTTTGGTGGGCATTGGTTACTTAATTGGCATATGAAAAAGACTTCGAGATATTTAGATTTTTGCAGAATGCCAAGGGAGTATATAGCATCACTGTTGCCTAAAGATACTTGGAAATGGCAATATAGACTGGTTGGAAGCTCTGCAGATCATGGATTTGGATTTTTCCCTTTGCTGAACTTAAATTCTGGGATACTCCCATGGTCAAATCCAATAATTGTGCAAGATGTGGATGTGAATGTGTTCTATAAGCCATTACATATCAGCATGGACCAGTTAATTCCCACAATGCCAGGTTATTGCCAAGTTGTTATTGATGGATTTATTGAAGATGCATTTTTGAAGGATTGTATTGTGAAAGGAGGAAAACAATCTTTTCTTTCTGGAAGACTGGTTTCACAGAAAATTGGAACAGAATTTTTGGATGGGAATATTGAATTTAATTATCCAGCAATAACATTCAAAACAATTTTGGATGGCCCTCGGGGAAAGTTTAGGTTTGATTGTGATGTTGTCTTTGCAGTCAAGATCCATGACTCTGCTGCAGTATTTTACGATTGGTGCTGGCGAGTGGAGGACACTTTCCCACTGCAGCTGCTTGACAGAATCAGAACTGGGGGATGCTATGTGGTTCACAAGCATTGTGCAGGGAATCACTTATGCCATGACTTTGATTGGCGAATTACATTTGCACAGGCTGAGTCTGAACTCTTTGAGTATCATTCTGACAAGGCAGCCTTGAAACTGTGTTATGCAATTATCAAATTTGCAGTAAAGCAATTTAGCCATGTAAAAAAGAGAAATTACCCTGCTTTAAAATCCTATCATTTGAAGACAGTTATCTTGTGGATTGCAGAGCAAAGTAAAAAACTTCCCTATGATATGTTTACAATTGACAATAACAAAACATTAGGAGGACTTTTACTCCATATCATTTCAACATACAGACAACATATTTTTCAAGGACATTTAGAGCACTATTTCATGAAACATATCAATATATTGGAGCCCTATGGAGTTGAAGAGCGTACTGCAGCAATGCAACTGTTAGATGAGTTCAAAATGAAGCCTCTGGCTATAGTTTCCAATTTTGACAGTTGCAACATGAGCCGTTGGAAGTTTGATCAGTTTTTTATCATCAGTCTCCTTGTTGTAGTGGCATGCCTATGGTTTAACTTTTACTACTCAAATCTGGGAATAATATTTGAGCCTGTAAGTGTTGTCAAACAAATTTACCGGATATGTGGTGTCTTTTGCATCATACTAATTATAAAAATACTTCTGGATTGATGTTTATATGTGGACATTGAAAAAAAAAATAACTAGTGCAGCTGTGTTTGACTCAGGGAATTTCAGAGATCGTGAGTCGGGTTGCCTTGGTCTGTATAGTGTTAAAAGGTTTATCAATAAAAAGCCCTGTAGTGGATACTCAGTAGATGGTTGGCTGATGGTTTTGTCTTCTTGCACTTGTTCAATAGCAATTAGCCATGCTGACTCATATTCAGAAGAGAAAAGTAGTTGAATTGTTTAAAATAACTTTTTTTCAATTAATTTTCCACACTGAGGGTTTTTGTCTTAAATTCTGTTCGGATCCTCTTCTTTTTGTCAAGCATGTTTTGGAGTCTCTTTTTTTCACGATGTGTGATTTTTATTTCGTATATTTCCTTTTGAGATTCCTCTTCTTTTACAACTGTCCACATTCGCGAACCTATCAATATGTCAGTTTTGGGCATCATTAAAGGCCATGAAGCCGATAAGGTCTCCTTCTTCTAACATACTGTGGCTCGTTGTGTTACGGCTTTTAATAGAATCGACATACTAAACAATGGGGAACTTGGACTTCCCTCCATATTCGCCATCTGCCATATCGATTGCCCTGTTTATCTGGCGATATTCCATCGGTTCTCCATTCCACGTTGCGGCCCTTTCGAAAGGATTGGCATGGCACTAGGAGCACTGGGCCGCAGTGCGCGAACGTAAATGCTCACCCAACTGGAAGGTTTTTGAGCTGGAAACAATTCTCGCTGGGTGATTTGTTGAGAGCGTCTCGTGATCCTTTACGAGAACATTTTATTCTTCATATTCCTCGAGATTGCTGAAAGTTTCTGTGTTCGTCTCTGGACCGCCCGTCGATAGTGGTGTACTTCTACTGCTGCTAAACATTCACCTCAGACCAGATAACTTCGAATTGCATCCTAAGAAAAAGTGCCTTTCAATTAGTCTTTAAAGGAGAGGTAAAATGCAAATCAACACTCTTCTACGACGCGAAAATGGATCAAATCGCTCGATAGCTTGAGCGGGCAGAACCAAGCAAATTGCATGTCGCACATTCCATGTGCCCGATAAACTAGAATGCGAACCTATATAACACTTGAGTATGGATGTAAAGTAGCTTCCTGGTTTGAACATCTCGATTAAAGTGACCTCAAAGCCTAGTACACTTACAGATGTCTTAAAAACGATAGCGCGCACAAAGATGCGAGTACACGCCCCTTTACCCGAGAACTTAGTAAGTCTTCGTTTTGTTTGTTTTCTACTTTGCACAACTGTAACAAGACAAATGTTCCTTTTCGTACCGAGTGCTTTGGCATCCCTGGCATGTTTTAAGACAAAAGTACTTATATGAGCCGCTGAGAAGAAACAAGTTACAATCTTTTTGCACCTTTCATCAAACCTTCACCGTTAAAACATTGAAGACTGCCCTGAATACGCACTTGAAATTTTTCAGGATTTCAATTTTTTGAGGCAAGACAAACTTTTTTCCAATATGGACATTATTATATTTCTTAATACTGCCATTCCCATAGGCGAAGGTCTACTGGCCCTCAAATATTTTTACTGACATCAAAGCGCTCTCAAGAAAAGACTGCTTCGCCTAAATGATTTAGAGTGAACACTCAATTTTTTTCATTCGGGGACACGAGTTGGTTGACCACATTTCTACTCTCAGTGGATCCTTGATGGAGCACAGAATATGAACGTGAGAACTCAAATTTTCTCTTCGTTCTACGCTCTTGATAAGACGAATTCTACATCTTTTTGTTATATACTTGTTCTTCACGCTGGAAAAACGTTTCCTTCATTTCAGAGCCATGAGTCACCTCAAAGACGCGAGCGTACGGAAACATGACTCTCACTAAATGTTTAAGTTATATAATAATAATAATAATGATAATAATAATAATAATAATAATAATAATAATGATGATAATAGAAAAACAACATTTTAACATATTACTTTAATTTCATAATTTATAGACCTACACCTGTCAGTTTTCTTTCTGATTTCTTTTACAGGTTAGCTAGAAAAGTATTCGACTTTATTTGTATCTTTTTAGATTGATTTCATCACTAAAATCGTTCTATTTGACATTGAAGAGGAGATTAGGCTCTCTATTTTCTTTCATTCTTCCATCGAACTGCTTCTCTGAAAAGACAATTTTATCATCTACGTAACAGTAATTTCGTGATGTGATTTTCTCAACATCAGCCGTTTTTCAAATAATGGGAATTTCGTTTCGCCTCAAAATTCATCTCTATTTGAAATTGATCTGGAATATTGCTTCATTATATGATCAAATCTTGATTTAGGGACTTTGATAGGAAGTTGCTAATCCAATTATGTTATAACTGTGATCCATTCATTGATGGTATTAACTTATGCTTTGGTCCATGTTGATTGATAATTGGACCACGATTCTTCGTTATCTCCCGGGTCCTTGTATTTAATAGTGTGTTTGTTATGATGCACTATCTCCCACTGGCCCATCCAGGGACCAATAATAGTTGTGTCAAATTCAGGATCTTCTTCGGGTTTCAGTTTGATTTCTTCCTGCAAAATAAGAAATAAAAAATAACGATAAAAGGCTATGAATCACTACATCGATTGAGAAATAAAAATATTGAAAAATATTTAAAAAATCGATGAAATGTGACGAAAGAAAGGCAACATGGTAAGATAACGATGGCGATCTTTGCTTTTATTCTGAATTACGAATTCTCCCTACGAAATCCGTTCGCCATTACTAAATTAACTAGAGAGAGCTTGAACGAGAGAGGAAGTGATATCACGTCCTATGAAATGTTGAAATGACTCGAAGTGTCGTTCCCTATACCCTCGAGGGAGGAGAAGAAAGGAATATTCACGCGTGTAGCACTCTGACGGGCTCCACGCCCTACTACCTCGGTGTTTTACAAAGTAAAAAAAAACATACACCCACTTTTTTTGGTTGTTAATGTGATCGCTATACCTTTTCAAATTTCGTTTTCACGTCCTGATGACCTCGTTGTAACTCAGTCCTGTCACAAGACGCAAACTCGGTCCAGTCCACCGTGTAGTTTGGGTCCTTTGAGGTACGCAGAAGTATGTTTTCCTACAAGCAAGAGATTGATATTACATTTGAAAGCAAAAGTCAGCGTACAGTACTACACCAGAGACAAGAAGAATGACTGGAAGAGTTGGTTGTAAAAAAAAAAAAAAAAAAACCAACAACAACAATAACATAAGGAACACACTGAGTTCAAGAGAAGATAATTTCTAGAACAAAAGTGTACTGATGAGGTTCTAAAGTGAGGCGGCATTTGTAGGAGAGGCGACTGCATGAGTATTCCGTATCCTATCCATTTTGCCCTAAATATCCCGTATCCCGTTAATTTCTGTGGGTTGTATCCCTATAATATCAGTTCGACATCTCTGAATCTCTATTTTAAATATCTCCCGTACCCCATTTAAATGTTTTCCTCAAGTATCCCGCATCCCTATAGTTTTTAATCCAAGTAACCCGTATCCCGATAACCCCTACTAAGGCCTCTGTAAGAAATGTTATAATTCCCCTGTAGTGATTGGCTGAGACTGCCTTTTAAAGCAACTGTTAGCGGGCTTGGCTAAACTCTACGACAATGTTGTCATTTGTATAAATCTTCGAAATTTTAAAGCCTCTATATATATATAGCCTCTATAGGCTATATACATATATATATATATATATATAGCCTCTATATAGCCTCTATAGGCTATATGGCCTCTATAGCTCTGTATTTTTCTTTACAACGTGAGCTACAAGGTCTCCATCTTGACATTGCCAATATACCTTAAGTCCATAAAAGCCATTCGGCTTGTCAGGTCTTTGCCATCTGAGGTCCAAACTCCAACGAATTTTGTCTAGATGTTTTCTAAACTGAAATAGCCAAAAATAACGTTACTGTAAAATGTACGGGAAAAAAGAAACAGATACCAGTCAAAACTGATATGATATTTAAAGTCACAAAGTTCTTGGAGGAAACAATACATTACTGACAATATTGTCAGCAAGAAAGGGAAAATGTGTCGATGGGAAACAATCCGGATCGATCGATCACATTTCATGCAAAAGAAGTAGAGGTCCTTGGGTAAAATCGACTCAGATAGCTCGAATCCATGCTAACTCGAATCTCACGCCAACGAGAACCAAAATTAACTTCTGCTGGATTTCCATAGTCTACGAGCAGTCCTTGTTTTAGTAAGGTCTATCGCGCGAGTAACAAAAAAAATGTGAAAAAAAAATTATGTTTGCGCGCCGCGCGGAACAGAGATCAGAGAAAATCAATATTACCTTTACACCTAACTCCCTTAAAATTTGGTAACAGCGTGTCGGAAAATTTATAGCAAGGGAAAAAAAAGGAAAAAGAAGCACAAACCTCCTGTGAGGAACTAGATTGTTGATAAACAAAACACCACCAAATGGAACTTCACAAAGAACGATGTCTTTTTCAAAGTCCACATCTACAGAACACAAGAGGAGAGAAATAAG